AGCCATACGTTTGCACGGTACCAGGCTGTGGGAAGCGCTTCACCGAGTACTCAAGCCTGTATAAGCACCACGTGGTGCACACACACTGCAAGCCCTACACCTGCAGCACCTGCGGCAAGACCTACCGGCAGACCTCCACCCTGGCCATGCATAAGCGCAGTGCCCACGGCGAGCTGGAGGCCACAGAAGAGAGCGAGCAGGCCCTTTATGAGCAACAGCAGCTCAAGGGTGAGGGGCATGGGCAGGAGGTGAGAGTGGGGACAAGCCAGGCCTCTCCATGGCCATCCAGTGGCAGGTGTCAGCCTGGGCTCTCCTCTCCCAGCCGCCTCTGCAGCCGAGGAGAGCCCACCACCCAAACGACCTCGCATTGCTTACCTTTCGGAGGTGAAGGAAGAGGGTGATGACATCCCAGCCCAAGTGGCCATGGTGACTGAGGAAGATGGGGCTCCTCAGGTGGCTTTGATCACTCAGGATGGTGCCCAGCAGGTACAGGCCCTAGGGATAGGGATGGGGTAGGCCCCTGTGGCTGGTGCCCCCTCCCACTCTCTCTGGGGAACCCCAGAGGCCCGACAGTCCCATCTCTACCCAGTTTCTTTTTAGCCTTATGGGTGCCAGTGAGCTGAGGCTGAGGGTACCAATCTTGTAACATAGCCCATCCTCCTTCTCATGCTTCTAGAAAGTCTCTAGGACTTCTGGAGCACAGTTAGTAGTTTCCCTCTCTACTTGGAGGCTGACAGGTCCTGAACATTTGAGTGAGACACTTGGATGTCCTTCTCAAGAGGGCCTCGGTGGTGTAGATACGAGAGCATGGTGTGGGGTCTGGAAGCCTGGGGTTTCTAGCCAGCAGTATAACCTGCCCATTGTCAGCACCCTCACTGTCAAGGGCACTAATGCCTTTTGGCGTTGGCATGAGGATGAAATTAGGAGGAGACCCTGCATTGCATGGAACAGAGAGCCCTCTGGCAAAGTGGTGGTAAATAGAAGTGATGAGCAGAGTCCTTTAGTGCAGCCTCTCTGCACAACCTGGGACCTGTTTGACTTGCTTGTCCCTGACTTCCTCCATTTCTGTGACACTGTGTCCGGGAGAGCAGGACCCGTCCTCCTAGGGGCTTTTAGACAGCCCGCCACTGCACTCCCAGCTCATCGTCTTCCTTCCTGTCAGCAGGTCAGCCTGTCCCCAGTAGACCTGCAGGCCCTGGGAAGTGCCATCAGCATGGTGACCCAGCACGGCAGCACCACCCTCACCGTCCCCAGTCATGACGATGACCTTGCCACATCTGGCACACATACGGTCACCATGGTCAGCGCCGATGGCACCCAGACTCAGCCCGTATGACTAGGCGGTTTGCTTGGGGTTTCTTGTCGTTCTGTTCTTCCTTTCCATTGGGTGGACATTAAAGTACAGGCTAACCTAGTCAGGCTTTCTTACGAGGACCAAGATTTCCCCATGAAAAAGGGCTTCCCCTCAGTTCCTCTGGGCCATCAGCCAACTCTCCAGTTGAAAGGCATTTCACCGGGGGTCAAGAGACAGTGTTGAAATCTCAATCTACCCCTTATTTGTTTTGCTACCACAGACAAGTCACTTTTCATGGACTTCGATCTATTTTCAAATGAGGGAATTAAATTATCTCTGGGGCCTTTTACACCTCTGTCCTATGATTCAAAATCCCTAAATTAAGTTGGCTGTGAGGAAAAAAACACATCACTCAGCTGCTAGCCTTAAGTCCATTAACCTGATCCATAATGCTTTTAATCCATTCTCTTCTGGTATTTCCAGCCATCTTGCTTGGAGGGATTGTTTGGATTGAGGGAGGGATAGTAATGTAGGTGAGTTGGAAAACCTCCTTTGCCTGTATTTCAGGTCACAATCATTACCTCTGGGGCTGTGATGGCCGATGACTCAAGTGTAGCATCCCTTCATCATCAACAGGTGGCGCTGTTGGCTACAGCCAATGGAACACACATTGCTGTGCAGGTGGGTGTATTGGTCTAGGAGGATCCCACACTGCCAGAGAAAGGACCCAGGAAGGGCATTTGGCTCAAAAAGAGCTCCCTTCAGAGAAAAAAATTCATTTCTTTCTAAATCCACATCCCTGTCTCAGGCTTCTTTGTTGACTGAAGCAGAGTGGCGACGCTCCTTCCAGCCTTCAGAGTAATTTCAGTGGCAGTCTGCCTGGTGGACTAAGCCCTTCGTCTCTTCATATGAAAAATGAGGCTGAAGTAGATGATTACTAAGGTCCTTTCCAACCAGTCATCCCCTTCTGCGAGCAAGCCAGTCTTTCTGATCTTGGGCCATTCTGTGGCTCCTTGGCCATACCCAGCCTGATAGGACTCTTTATCAGTGACTTGCTATTTGTTGGTGCCCTACTAAGTGCTGTGTGTGGCACTTGGTGGATGGAGGGGATTCAGAAAAGTAGGTCACATGCCGCTATCCCTAGAATTTAGGAGAGGAGTCTCACCCTCTCTTTTCTGCACTCTTCCCCACAGCTGGAGGAGCAGCAGACCTTAGAGGAGGCCATCAGCGTGGCCACCGCTGCCATGCAACAAGGGGCTGTGACCTTGGAAACCACAGAGTCTGAGAACGGCTGCTGAGCCCTAGAGGGCTGGGTCCCATTCGTGTCAGGAGGTGCCGTGCTGCACAGCCATCCAGCCTCCAAGGGCTCAGGCTGTGACTGGCACGTGGAAGGTGGCCGTGTGGATCTCCAGGGAGAGGAGGCAGCAGGAAGATGGCCTAACCGAAGCAGGTCGGGGCCCTGCCCAGGAGGAGGGCTGGACAGCTGGAATCGGGGGAGCTGACTCCTCAGCTCCTCAGGAGCCAGGGGGCACAAGCTTGATCACTAGGCTGCACTGGGGCATCCTCCCCTCAAAACCAGCTGGGCACCCACTTTCCCCCCTCCAGAGAATACCCTTCCTGCCCCCAGTCCATTTCCCTTCTCAGGTGGCAATTCGGGCTGCTGTGGGGGTTGGTCATCTTCTCCAACTGGTCTCTGTCCACCAGGGGAGAGGGCAGATAGGTCTTCACCCCAGTAGGGGCAGAACAGTCCCAGCCCTGCCCCTTTCAATTACTGTCTCCCCAGAGGGCAGCTGAGATGCCTTGGTTGGCAGCAGGAGACCTCCTGCCACTGCAGTAAGAAGTGCTCAGGGGCCTGTGGCTGGAGAAAAGGTGCCCAGCCCTCCCACCCCACCCCCAGCCGCCCTTCAACCTCTCTGTGGTAGAGAGGCAAGAAATAGCCTTGTACATACTGGGGCTTGGGGTTAATTTTTTTTAATTGCATTTTGATAATTTTTTTCCTGCTCTGAGCAGTGGTGGCAAACGGGTGAATGAGTATTTAATAAAAGTTTCCAGTTTCCACCTGGGTCCATTCGTTTCTCCTCTCAACCTTTGGCCCTGGTGGTGGGCTGCTCAGATCAGGTTCACAGCTCTATCCTTGGCACCGACTCGCCTGATCCTTGGAGCTAGACTGGTGGGGCTGCCCTACTGGGGTGCAGGTGGGAGGGAGTCCGGGTGTGAGATAAGACCTGAGGACCTGCCAGTGGCTTCCTGCCCACCGCTAAGCAAGTGGGCCTCGGGGTGGCTAAGTGGGACCAGTGTGACCACTGCTTCCAGGCTGGCTGGATCTCAGGATGGTTATGCCGGAGGAATTCTGTTTTTTTCCACCTTACCTTGTATTGCATCATCAGAGCCCCTCCAGACCGTCAGCTCTTCCACGTGGGCAAAACCCCCTGTTGGAGCAGGGCAGGGGATGCCTTTGTTCAGGTTACTGAGGGTCTGAACTTCTGACTGAAGTCCTGGATCTGGGGATGACCCCCTAGGGGTCTGGGACCATGCTATGGCATTCCAAAGCCACCACTGGACCCCATTGAAAACTGTGGTAGGACCAGACCCGTTCCGATGGGAAGGAAGAAATGCAGGAGAAGGGAAAGAATCTTTAGGTTTAACCCCTCCTGCCTGGAAACGTTGCAGGGATTGGAGGTGCCTCAAGCTCCTTCCTGCCACCTGGGAACGGAACCCTCTTCCCCCAGCCCAGGTGTCCTCTCCCAGGACGCCTAGCAGGCTCCCAGAACGTGGCTCCCTATCATGGCCCCTAGAAAGCTTTACTCTTGCTGCCTGCTCCTTGGGGGCAGAGGGTGCTGGAGCATGCCCCTGGGAGGGGTTGTCTCAATCGCCTAAGCAGGCACTTTCAACATCCATGAGCCCTGTTCCTGGTGGGGGTGCATCCCAGCCCTGATGGGCACTGGATCTGCACAAATGGAAGCACCGCTGTGGAGAGCCCTGAGTCCCAAGCCCCCAGCTACCCCACCACAAGGCTCACCCCTGTGTGCCTGAGAAACAGTCTCTGGGTCTTCAGGTCCAGTGGGCCCAGAGTGGGCAATGCTCTTGAGTGTCTTTTAGAGCCAAAGCCCAGAGGAGGGGGAGGTAGCAAATCACGTGCCAAGTCCGCCTGACCTGGAGAGGTGCCCTGGCCCAGTCCCTCCCCCAGCTTTGTGTTGTTGCCTTTGTTTTCTTCTGCTTGGGAGGAGCCCCACCACCACGGTGCCGTTAGCCGGCTCTACAAGAAATGCTTTGTCCAGGGCTTACTCTGCTCTACGTCCATTCTCAGACCTTCATAGAACTCTGTGAGGTGGGTATTCTTCCTGCTTTACCAATGAGGAAACTGCTCAAGGAGGTCAAGTAACTTCCTCTAAAACCTAGTAAGTGTGGAATTGGGACAGGACACCCCCCAACAAACCCCCATCTGACTCCAAAGTCAGCATGGGCTGACTCGTTTCCTCAGCCCACTGCCTCTGGCAGCCCAGGAGGCCAAGCTGAACACAACTGGGGCTCCAGCTCTCTCAGGCTCGGTCCTCAGCCGCCTTGCCAGGAGGGGGCCACTGAGCTCCGCAAGAGCAACAGGCTGGTTACGGCCAGCACAGGCAGCCTGCAAGCAGGCAGGTGGAGCTCTCGCTCCGTGCCTGGGCTCCTCTGTGGTCTGTGCAGCCGTTTGCATTTCCTGAAACCGGATCTTGGTGTCAGAGCCACCCCCGGGCCTGGCGGGCGGGTGCCTCAGCCATGGCCCTGCGCAAGGAGCTGCTTAAGTCCATCTGGTATGCTTTCACCGCGCTGGATGTGGAGAAGAGCGGCAAGGTCTCCAAGTCCCAGCTCAAGGTGAGGGGCACGCGGGGCCCAGGGGAGGCTGACAGACACACCCCAGCGGTCTCTGCCGCCTGAGCCAGGCATGAACACTGCTACTCTCTGGGCACCCTGCCATCCAGAGGCCCGGGCCTGAAGTGGGGGCCAGTACAGGGCGAGTAGAAGCCCAGTGAAGGCTGCTGCCTACTCTCTGAAGACCAGGGGGCATGTGCAGAGCCATTGCCCAGAGCCCTGCCCCTCAACTGTCGGGATGGTGTCGGTGGCATGGGGTTCTGAGGGCCACGGGCCAGGTGACGTCCCAGACTCCATGTGATGAGCACACATCACAGAGTCAAGCTTGGGCACGTACCCTAGTCCTTCCTGCCGTTTCCTTTTGACTTTGAAAAGAGAGTTAGCTAGTACTTTGTCAGTCACTTCCTCCTGGAGCTGAGAGAGAGGTTCAAAGAGCCTTTCCTAGTCCAAACCAGGTTGGCTCAGTCGCCCTTGGTGGAAAAGCTCCTCTGAGCCTGCCTCCCAGGTGGGACAGAGATGGGAAGGGGCAAGAACTAAAGACCCCGTTATACTGCGCCGGGCTCCTCCTCCGCCTCTCCCTTCGCCCACATACCAAGTTAGGAGATGGTTCATCTTAGGCCTTGAGACCTCAGGTTGGGAGGAGGTGGAATCTGAGCCCAGGAAGGGCCCCATCAGTAATTGCCCTAGACAACCCCTGGCAGGCTAGAAAGTTTCTTTCCTTCCTTCTTCCAGTCCCAGGTTGGTGCTGTCTTCACCCTAGTTAGGGAAGAAACAAGACCCTTAGCCAGCGATTTTCAGCCTGTGCGCTGCAAGAGTTTTTAATACATGCAATACCTGACTGTTTAGTCAGGGCACTGACCTCTTTCCCCTTAACTTGTCAAGTAAAAAAGAAAAAAATTGACAACAGCCAACACTACAATAGCTGTTCAGCATGATCAAAATGGTACTATATCTTTGTTGTGCTACAGAATTTTAGTAATTAGTTGGTGTGTGCCTTGAGATGGAAAAGGTTGAAAACCACCGCCCTAAACAGTCAGAGCTAGGGAATGGTGGGGACAGAGCAGGGTAGCCCCCAGCTCTCTGGGATCTGCCTTAGGGGTTCATCCATTCACTTCACAAATATTTATTGATCACCAACTATGTACCTGGCATGAGGCTAAGGCCCTAGATTCCTGGTGTCTCCCTGGGCACATCAAAATAGGGGTGCAGTCTCGAGGAAACCTCCATTCTTAATGACCAAGGCAGGAGGTGCCCAGAAACCTGAGAGGGATGGCTACCACTGGGTAGGTGTCAGCCCTACCCTGTTCCAACGGCCTACCTTGCTGAACGTGGAGACACTGTAATTGGATGTCCCAAACCAGTCCTGTCCAATAATCTATCCCTTAGCCAGACTTGTGAGCATCCAATAAATGACTCTTGGCTCCCCCAGGAAGGAGAGTCCACTACTGCCTTTGTTCATCTGGGAGAACGTCCCTACAGGCAGGTTCTTCCTTCTATTCTGCTTAAATTCTTATGTTGCAGATTATCTAGTAGGGTCTCAGTTTAGGGAGATCATCCAAAATCCATCTCTGCTTGAGCCTGTCTTGGCCTCTAACTGGTTCTGCTCCCCACCCCCACGGGTTGAGTATTTGCAGGAGAGAGCCCATGGGGACCTTGCATACTTGAACCATTTGCTGTCTGTACCACATCACAGCTCAAATTGAGCCCACTGCCAGCAGCCTCCTCGGTCACAAAAGATCAGTGGTAGATTTCTCTCTCTGCTTGACAGAAAACTGTTCCACTCTGGGAATCTGAGCTAGCCGTGAGGGTGTCAGGCAGGTGGTGGGTGGGGCAGAAATGTAGGGTCCATGTCATTGGAAGTGAACACTGGAATGGGAGGAAGTAGTGATTGTGTTGGGGGTGGGGACACCGGAGAGGCAAAGGAGCAATAGAGAAGTGGTCAGAAGGCGGGGAAGAAGCAGATGAGAGATATATATACCAGCAGGGCCACCTTCTCACTAAAACTGTCCCTGGTCTTGGAGCCCTTGGTTGGGACCAAACAGGAGCACTGCACCGGCCAGAGCAAGCGATACTTGTCTCTGTGATGGTCACCGCTTCTGCCCCGAAGTATTGGTAGAGGGGTTTCCTCTGTCTGTCCTGGGCAAAGCCATGATGAGGCCGAAGGGAGGAGGAAGAACAGCAAGTCCTCTGGGAAGTAGCCTCAGGAGTCAGGAATGTTTTCTCCGGAGAAGAGGTCTCAGGGAGAGATCAGAGGGGAGGAGAAGAGATGAGTGTTCCTTCTTTCCGCAGTATCGCTTGTTACTTCGATGGGTTCTCTGTATCTGCATCTACTTCTGAAGGCTGGAATCGGCCGAACCGTGGGCATGGCACCAGTCCCAATCCCTGCACTTGAGCTTTTAGGGAACTCCTGACCCCCAAGGGATAGCCACTCCCCCACATGCCTCCAGAGGAAACAGTGAATAGACGAAGCGTCTTTAAGGTCAATGGCTGCCGACCCAGAGGTCAGAGACTACCTGGGTGGGTGGGGGAGCCTGTGGGAGTGCTCTCTGAGGGAGGCCGGCAGTGGCTTGTGAGAAGTGCAGGCACCTGGACACCACCCTTGGAAACTCTGAGTCAGTAGATCTGGGTGGGCCCCAGCATATTTCAGTTTCACCAGCTCCCCAGGTGATTCTGATGCTCGGCCAGAGCCGATGTAGCGTAGAGATCACAAGCAGGGCTTTAGAATCCTTTCTTCGGTGAGACACTTCGGCTCTCTGAGCCTTGCTGTCCTCATCTGTAAAATGAGGATAATAACAGTCCCTACCTCCGGGCTGAGGACTGACTTGCTCTCACTGGTCTCCATCCCAGCCGTTTCCTTTCCCACCTGACCCTCTTCTGGTCACACCCACTCCCCACCCCAGCCCCCACCACGCCCAGGCACCGGAAGCCTGGCAGTCTGAGGTCTGCTAAGCTCAGTGGGGAGAGGCCCTGAGCCCTGAGTGTGTGGAGCCTTTAATTCTTCCTCATCCTGATACCAGACAGCTCATAGGGATCGGGTCCTCTGCCCTGGGCTCCTCAGACTCCACTGACAAAAGGTATTAGTAAGGCCCTGACCAGGTGGCTCAGTTGGTTGGTGCATTGTCCCATAACCAAAAGGGTGCAGGTTCCATTCCCAGACGGGGCACACACCTGCGGTTTGGGTTCTATCCCCGGCCTAGGTGCAAACGTATGGGAGGCAACTAGTAGTTGTTTCTCTCTCCCTCCCTTCCTCTCTCTCTAAAGAAATGAAAAAAACAAAAAAAGTGTCCTCAGGTGAGGGTTTTAAAAGAAAAAGGTACAGGTGAGGAAGGCAGGTCTTAGAGAACAGTGTGGGCAAATAAACCAGGGAGAAAAATAGCTCAAATAGTGTGTGCCGCCGTGTGGCAGGTGCTGTCCTGGGGTGGCAGGAGTTCTGCGTCACCCCTCCGAGTGTCAGAGAGATGAAGACAGGCCCAGCAGGGTCAGCTTGCCCAGAGAGATTCAGTCCATGTCTGTCTGCCTTCTGTATTTTTCTACTTCTCCTCATGAAGCATTTAAGTTCACTCGACAGCCGCATCGTGTCCGTTACGTGCCAGACCCCGTGATGCAGCAGTGAGTGAAACAGACAGAAATCCCCCCACCCCTGTGGTGCTAACACTGCAGTCTGAGAACACACAGGATAAACGAAAGGAGCAAGAGGGTGTCATGTGATGGGGGAGGACAGCCGACATGGAGGAAACAAAGCAGAAATGGGGATCAGAGTGTGGGAGTTAGAGGGGATGGGGTTATAGATTCAAACCAGGTGATCAGAGAAGCCCTCCCTGAGAAGCTGGCGTCCAAGGAAAGCCGGGAAGGAGGAGGGGGAGTGAGCCGTGTCATGACCTGGGAGAAGGAAGTTCCAGCCTGAAGGAAGAGCACGTGCAGAGGTCCTGGGGCAAGAGTGTGCCTGGCTTGTGGACTGTCAAGGGGGCCAGAGTGGCTGGAGAGAAGTGACCTAGAGGGATAAGGTCAGAGAAGGTGCAGCAGGCCAGGCCACGCGGTGCCTGAGGCCTCGGGAAGGAGTCTTACTCTGAGAAGGATGGGAAACCGATGGAGCATTTGTTAGACTTGAGGATCAGTCACAAACATTCAGCATACGGGGACAGTGTACCAGCTTGAGTCAGGGCTGAGATTGGAGTCCTTGCCACCCTCAGGGAACGCAGAACACCCAGTGCTGCTCACACAAACAGGGAACAACAAAAAATGTTCCTACAAAGCAGCTTCACTCTAGGGTATATTAGTAATAGTGGTTAACGGCACTCTTTTTTGTCTGTAGTTTAAAATTTTGTCATAAAAATGATATATGCTCTTGCTTAAAAAAATTAGAGTGCAGAATGTAGTTTCTTAAAAGATGAAATTTATTATAAAAGTAAATCATGTTAGTTAATAAAATTCAGAGACAATGTAATGGCAAAGGTGGAAGTCCCTCCGGGTGGCAAGGGGAGAGCTGTTACCAGTTTGCTGAGTCTTCTAGATTTTTTCTCCACACGAATAAACATATTGCATTGAATGGTATGAAACTGCCAACATCTGACTGCTTCGATTACTAAAGTAGCAGTGGGGATGGTTCAACCTAATCTGTATACACCCATCCACTTCCCATTTTACCCTACAGCCTATTTTTTTCGCCTGTCAGTGTATTATGCATAGCTTTCCATGTGTTCATACAAATATAACAATAGAAATAGCTCGCAACTTTTGTTAAGCCGTGCACCGTGCAACCCCAGGTGCTGTGCTATGCCCTTCATTCTAAAAGTCCCCGTGGAGCAGGCCCTCATTATCCTCACAGAGAAGTTCAGTGACGTGCCCATGAGCACACGGGTGGCAGAAGCAAACTCTGCAGCCACACAGGGGTTGACCACTTGTCGTGCCCCTCCCCTACTGAAGGAGCCCCAGGCTGTCTCCCACTCTCCACTTCGCAAACAGCGCTTGCAAACACTCCCGCACGTGTGGCAGGGTTCCTTTGAGCACGCATGGGTGGCATGATTGGGAATGCTGGGCTCATGCGCATTTTTAAGTCTGATAGATTTTTGCCCCTCAGAAGGGCTGCAAATTCACACCTTGACAGCAGAGCATTCAAGTCTCCCTTTCTCCACAGCCTCCTTAGGACTTCATATTACCAGTCTTTTCCATCCGTGTCGGTTTGTTAGGTAAAAAATCCCGCTTTCCATACAGAAAAGGAACCAACACTTGTTCCATGCAGACCTGCATCTGGCGCTGCATCCTCCCAGCCCTCCTGCGTGGAAGGTGTTGTCCCATTTTATTGACAACAAGGGGATGAAGGAGTTTATCCAAGGCCCCACAACTAGAAAGTGACGGCCCCTGGTCTTCCGTGTCCCGCCACTGCGGTGTGGCACGTCTTACCCAGGTGCTTTGAGGCTTGAAGGAAGATAAAGACATGCGGAATTTGAAAAGAGGTCAGGAGGCTCCAGGTGGAAATTTGTAAAACTCGTAGAATAACACTAGTCACTTCGAAGTGGATATTTCTCTGTGTTAGTCACCCTGGAGCGTAGGTGGCATTGAGCCAGTGGCACCTCTCAGGCTGGGAATTGGTATCCTATGGTCATAGATATATTAGGTCTTTTCTGGATACAAATGGTAGGATCCTAACTCAAAATAACTAAAGGGAGATGTTTGTTATTGGCTCACATAACCAAAACTCTAAGCATAGCATTGACTTTGGGCATGACTAGATCCAGGTTCTCAACTGGTGGCTCTCTTTATCCCTTCTTATTTTTAAAGATTTATTTATTTATTTATTTATTTATTTATTTATTTATTTCCAGAGAGTGGGGAAAAGGAGGGAGAAAGAGAGAGAAACAGTGATCAGTAGCCTTTCTCACACCTCCAGCTGAGGACCTGCCCTGCAGCCTGGGCATGTGCCCTGGCTGGGAATTGAACCAGCAGCTGTTCGGTCTGCAGGTTGTGCTCAATCCACCAAGCCACTCCAGCCGGGACTGATGCCTCTCTTTATCCCTTGACTCCTGTTTTTCACCCATGGCCTTATTTTTAAGCAGGCACTTCCTACACAGGAACAAAGATGTCAGATGTATCTATCTTCCAACAACTTAACAATTCCATGGAGAGTTTACCTATTTTTCACTAGAGGAAGCAAAAATCCTAGGGCTGATTCTCATTGACCCAGATTTGATCATGTGCTCTTCTTTGAACCAATCACTTTTTTTATTCTCAACTGAGGATATGCTTAGTGATTTTACAGAGGGGAGAGAGAGGAACATTGATCAGTTACTTCTCACACTCACCCAGACCAGGGACCAAACCTACAACCCAGGCATGTGCCCTGACCAGGAATCAAACCTGTGACCTTTAGTTCCACAGCTCGATGCTCCAACCAGCTGAGCCACTGGCCAGGGCCTGATCACTATGACTTTGATGTGCCCACCCTTGGAGACAGTTGCAAATGTTCGGTGTCACAGATATTGAAGGTACAGAGAAGTACTTCTCAAAGGGAAATCAAGCCTCTATTACCAACATAAGAGAGAGGGAGCAGAGTTCATGAGGAAGAAACGTCAGCCGTCCTCTAGACCAAGAGAAGGCAGAACCAAAGATTGCATAAGAGAATTGAAAGAGTGTGGGAAAGAGGGCTTGGTGGAGATTAGGGATGGCTGCCCAGAGGGAAGTTATGGAAAAGAAAAACTCCGCTGCTCTGCTGGACCCCACAACACCCCACTTTGTCAAGTGGAACCTGAGGCCCAAGAGAGCACTGGGGAGAAGTCTCGATCCTTTCTCCCCCCTGTCTCACAAAGAGAATAAAGAAACGAACACTTGGCACATGGGCCATCTCTAGATGTTGGAGAAACTGACCCCAATATTAACTGACGGTGGTCAAATCAGCCACGAAATGCAGCACTTACGGTCTGCCTTTGTGTGCAGAAGAGAACCTAGGTGGTGTGGGATGCCAAGATGAACAGAAACCTTGTCCCAGAGGTCAGAGTCTACTTGGGGAAGGGGCTCATGATCAGTCTTCTGAGGGCGGCAGCCTTCAGAGGTAGACTCATCCAGTTCCAACCTGAGTTCTGCCTTTGATTCCTCTTGACCTCTCCAAGTCCCAGTATCCTTATCTGAAAAACAGGGATACCGGTGTTTGGGTACCACAGTTGTGGAGATTAGACATGGGGTAGAGAAAGCGCCTCACACAGCGGCTGGCACAATAGTGACTAACCACTATGCTCTCTGTGATGATAGAATGACCCCGAGGCGATTTTCTTCCCCTGATTTCCTTGTTCAAATTTCAACCTCTTCCTTCTAGTGTCACGGGTTTGTTAACCAACCCATGTTTCTCCTCCATATCGTCATGGCCGCCATCCTTTCTGGGCCTTGTCCTCCACATCCCACAGACCATTTTCATGACACTTCCTCTGAGCTCTCTCCAGCTCCCTTCCACCTTTAGAGGGGCAATCAATCGCACACGGCCGCACCCTAGCAGCCACACCTGGGTGCGAGGCACACTGCGGCCTGCGCACTGATTCCTTGATGGAAACGGGTCGATCTGGGGCTCTGCCCTGGGATGACAAGCTGTCTCCCTGCAGACAGCCCTGCATCACACGAAGTACTTGGGCTTTGGTATCTGCGGAGCTGTATTGAATCCCAGGCTCTTGTTCACAGCGGGTCCTTGGGCAAGCTACTGAATCCCTTGAGCCTCAGCGTCCTTGTCTGCAGACAGAGGACGGATCCCCCGACCTAGTGAGGGGGCTGAGAGCCTGGCTGCCTGGGTTTGAGCCCAGCTCTGCCAGCTCTCTGACCTTGGGTGAGTCACTTAATATCTCGGCCGGGGGTATTTTTCATCTCTAAAATGGGGGGATGTTAACAGTTATTATGAGGGTTAAGTGAATTATATGTAAAGTACTTAGCTCAGTTTTTGGTGCATAGTAAATGTATAAGTTTTATTTTTTTATTGAGGTATAATTGACATTTAACATATTAGTTTCAGGTGTACACAGTAATGATTCAGTATTTGTACATGCAGTAAACCCTTGAACATGGGTTTAAACTGCGTGGGTCCACTTATACGCCTATACTTTGCAATAAATATACATTCAGTCCTCCCTATCCACGGATTTTACATCTGAAGATTCAACCAACCATGGACCAAAACAGTATTTCCAGCCCTGGCCGCCTAGCTCAGTTGGTTAAAGCACTGTCCTGTACGCCCAAGGGTTGCAGGATCGATCCCCAGTTGGGGCCCATGCGCAAGGTGGCTGATCGATGTTTCTCTCTGTCTCTCTCTCGCCCTGTCCTTTTCTCCCTGTCTAAAATCAGCGGACATGTCCTCAGGTGGGGATTTTAAAAACCCCAGTATTTTCAGTTCATGGTTGGGGTTCTGCAGAGAGCCGCTGTATGCACAGTCCTGCTGAATTTTACATAAGGGACTTCAGCATCTGTGGGGCTTGGTGTCCACGGGGTCCTGGAACCAACCCGCCATGGTTACCCAGGCACAACTATAGTTAAGTTTTTCAAGAGTCAAAAGCTGTACCTGGATTTTCAACTTTGCATGGAGGTGGGGTTGGCGCTTCTAACGCCACATTGTTCAAAGGTCAACTGTTTTGCAAAATGATTGCCACAGTAAGTCTAGTAAAAATCTCACCATACGTAGTTGCCAAAAAAGTTTTTTCTTGTGATGAGAACTTTTATGATTTACCCCCTGGAAAAAAATGCAGACACTTGGCCGGAAGGCCACACGTCTGGGGTTTCGTTAAAACACTGGAAGCCGCGGGAGTTACTCTCCTCAACACCAACATCCTTCCTAATGGAGACAGGGTCTCTCAGCAACTTCCAAACACGCCGTGGGCTGCTCCTAACTATGATCGTCATGCTCTGCATTGTATCCCCATGACTTCATTTTATAACTGGAAGGTTGTAACGTCCACCCCCTTCACCCATTCCCCCCCCCCCCACCTCTGGCAGCTACCAATCCTTTCTCTGAATCTGTGAGGGATTTTTAGTTTGTTTTGTTTAGATTCCACATACAAGAGCATTATACATATTTGTCTCTCTCTCTGACTTACTTCCCTTAGCATAATGCCTTCAAGTCTCATCCATGTTGTTACAAATGACAAGATCATTCATTTCTTATGGCTGAATAATATTCCATTATATATGTTTTGGTAATGATTGAATAGTGTGTGCAGAGGACCTAGCCAGGACGGGGCTGGGGGCAAACGGGGGGTGGTTATCCTTTGTCCCAGTTTTGGTTGAGGTACAGGAAGGCAAACTGCCACTCTGTCTCAGGTGCTGTCCCATAACCTATACACGGTCCTACACATCCCCCATGACCCTGTGGCTCTGGAAGAACACTTCCGAGATGATGACGATGGTCCTGTGTCCAGCCAGGGATACATGCCCTACCTCAACAAGTACATCCTGGACAAGGTGAGGCCCAGCCTGGGAGAGGCACCTCTAACCTCGCCCCCCTTCCCAGCCAGCACCCTAATACATTTCCTTCCCACGATAAACTCCCACTTCTATCCTCTCTGTGCTTCTGGTTTCCCATTTCCATCCTGCACTTTCCAGCTGCATGCCCCCATTCACACACCTGCGATCTCCCTCATCTCTGTCCTAGCTGCTACCCTTCCGTAACTTCCCACCCCATCCCTGCCTAGGCCCACCTCCAGCTTCCAGCTGTAACCTGTACAAAGAGCTCTCCCACTTTCCCCAGTGCTATCCCCCTGCTCTTCCTAGCTGCACTGTCTTCTCGGGTTCTTCTCGACTGTCCATTCTGCCCTGGGCCTCCCCTCCTTTCTCTTCTGGGCTAAGGGGCTAGAGTGTCTCTGTTGGCAGGGAACTAGGGTGGGTGTGGATGTGTGTGTTGGGCGTTGAGGGGACAGGGTGGTTGGAACCAGCTAGTTACCTGTAATCAGCTCCGGAATTCCTCAAGTTAAAGCCCAGATTTGGCTGGATGGGGAGCAGAATAGATAGATGTCCAGAGAAGCCAGCTGAAGCCTAGTGTAGGGCGGAGCCAGGATGGGGCAGCCTTCTTGGCTGACTCGGAGGCCTGGTGGCAGGTGGAGGAGGGGGCTTTTGTTAAGGAGCACTTCGATGAGCTGTGCTGGACCCTGACGGCCAAGAAGAACTACCGGGTGGATAGCAACGGGAACAGCATGCTGTCCAACCAGGATGCCTTCCGCCTCTGGTGCCTCTTCAACTTCCTGTCTGAGGACAAGTACCCCCTGATCATGGTTCCTGATGAGGTAAGGGTGAGGGCTCCCCCAGAGACTGAATCACTTGGGGCCAGGCCTTAGCAAAATCGTGAAGGAAGCCAAATCGCCTCTGTACTTTCCCACATCCCCTTTCTTCCTTGTCTTCCCATGCTGATACCTGTCCATAACCAGCTGTCGCCAGGCACGTAGAGTTGCCCATGCCAGAACACCCGTGCCTTCTCCCAGGTGCACCAAAAAACTACACTTCCTTCAGGGTTTTGCTGTCCCTCACAGCAGGAAAATAACCTACCAAATCTATTTACACAAAAGTGTAAATGCCTGATACGTTACTGGGCATTTAAGAACAAGAACATTTAAGATCTAATGGCAGGATTTTAGGTGCTGCGGCAATTGGAGAAGGGGTCTCTATGAGGGGGAGGGAGGCTTTCATGGGCCATCTCCCCAATACTCCCCGTGGGCAGACCCCTTCTAGATTTTCTCTTCCTGACCTCTATCTGCAACGTGGGGGAGAGCCAGGGCAGACTCAGCGCAGGACCCCAGAAAGGTGACCTGGGAGTGGAGGCCTGGAATCCCACCCTTCCCTCCTCAGCTCAGTGAAACCAGGGCAGGTGCCCCCTTTTCCAGTCAACACGCACCCTCCCGCTCTGTTCTCCACCTCCCTCCCTCCCATCTGTTCAGCCTTCTCCCGGCCCTTAGCTCTCGTGGCTGTGAAGATGCCAGGGTGAATTTAGGCCTTTAGGTGAGGGCATGCAGGGGATGGGTTTTCTGGGTTTACAAGGAGAACCGTGTCGAACTGCACTCAGATTTGTATCCTTGCTTCTGTTTGGGGGAAGAGGGGGAGGAGCCACCTGTGTCCTGACTGGTGCACCCCACCCCGCTCCCAGCTGAGACCCAGTGAGAGTCCTGGAGAGGGTTTCCCAAGAAGCTGCCAGGGCAGGAGAGGGACATGTGTCCATCCACACAGACACCGGGGGTGGCACCCTTACCAGACCCCTGCCAGCCAGGGCACAGTGGCCTCTCAGAAGGCTGCTCACTGCTGTGATCAACATGCAGTGCGAACAAACTGCAGCAGGATGTACCCCAACCACCACTTCCTGTTCCTCCGCAACAGGTTTCCTGTCCCTGCCCTGCGGATCCCCACCCCCAATCCCCTTGCCCTTCCACAAGGGAGGGTCCCCAGGGTTGGGGCTTGGAATGGGACTCAGGTGGGACTCAGGAGAGCTGCACCAAGTTCTGGCTGCCAGCGACTTGCTACATGATTTAGAACAAGTCACTTCCCCCTTTGGGCCTCAGTTTTGTCATCTGCTAAGTGAGAGCATTGGGTGAGAGGGCCCCTCCGATATTTTTTTGTGTGACTTTCCGCCTCTGCCTGGCCCCCAGCCCACAGCTTCCACCTTCACCTGCCCTTAATTTAGGCAGGAAGGAGTGGGATTGGTGGTTGGGGAAAGGGAGAGGATGCCTGAATTGGGGTTGGAGTCCAGGATCCCCTCCCAAATCTACCGGGGTGTCTCCACCAGTTTAGTCTTCTGCCTCCACCTCCAACCACCTGTTCCCGGTCACCTTTGTCCTATTCTGGAGCCAGACGGGAGCGCCCCCTAGTGTTAGTGTTGGCAACACTGCCTGCTGCAGTCCCCAGGCCTCCCTTCTCCTCCCTCAGGTGGAGTACCTGCTAAAGAAGGTACTCAGCAGCATGAGTTTGGAGGTGAGCTTGGCAGAGCTGGAGGAGCTGTTGGCACAGGAAGCCCAGGCAGCCCAGACCACCGGAGGGCTCAGCGTCTGGCAGTTCCTGGAGCTCTTCAACTCTGGCCGCTGTCTGCGAGGTGTGGGGCGGGATACCCTCAGCATGGCCATCCATGAGGTCTACCAGGAGCTCATCCAAGATGTCCTGAAGCAGGTCAGGCCAAGTTGGGAACTGGGGGAGGATCCCCAAAGAGGAGTGAAGGAGGACTCTGACTTTGCTCTGGCTGGCAGGGCTACCTGTGGAAGCGAGGACACCTGAGGAGGAACTGGGCAGAACGCTGGTTCCAGCTGCAGCCCAGCTGCCTCTGCTACTTCGGGAGTGAAGAGTGCAAAGAGAAAAGGGGCACCATCCCACTAGACGCACAGTGCTGTGTGGAGGTAAGGGGACAGGTGAGGGTGGAGCGTGCCTCAGGGCCCGGAAGGTCTTCGGGGTGGTGCGAGGGCCAGAGGGTCAGGAGGAGGGCAAATCGAGAAAAGCCAGTGACAAGTTTCTGCTTAGATGAGGCAAAGCAAATATACCTGGTACCTCAAGGCCATTCTCATCCATGCCAGGTTTTTTTAAAAAACCAAACTGCAAATTAAATACTAAAGTTATTGGTGAATAATGTGGACCTTGTGAAAGGTTTCAGAAGAGACAGCTTACATCTCACTCTACACAGCAAAACTTTCTAAAAATCCTCTTTACTGGCCTTTCTCCTTCACCCACATACCATTCTCCATGGCGACCCTGTACTTCCCTGTTCTTTCTCCACACTCCTCTCCTTTTCTCCTTCCCCTACCTTGGCTCTGTCCATTATTTCAGAGGCTTAAAATAACAATTTTTAAAACCGTAATAAACATATATGTATAACATGAAATTTGCCACTTTAACCATTTTAAGTGTACACTTCAGTAGCATTAAATATGTTCGCATTGTTGTGTAACCATCACCATGATCTATTTCCAAAATGTTTTCATCATTCCAACCCATGAAGCAATAACTCATTCCCATCCCACCCCCTACTTTTTGTCTCCATGAACTTGGGTATCGTAGGTACCTCATGTAAATGGAATAGTGCGATATTTGTTTGTTTTTTGTTTATTTATCTTAGCATAATGTTTCCGAAGTTCCTTCATGTTGCAGCATGGCTCAGGACTTCATCCCTTTTCGTGGCTGAATAATATTCCATTCTAGATACATGACATTTTGCTTATTTATTCACTCATTGATAGGCATTGGATTGTTGCCATCTGTTTACTATTGTGAATAATGCTGTTATGAATATCCACATACAAATTTCTGGGCGGACATGTGTTTTCATTTCTCTGAGAACATACCTGCGAGTAGAATTGCTGCATCCTATGATTGCTCTGTTTAGCTTTTGAGGGACAGCCAAACTGTTTTTTCCACGGTGGCTGCAGCTTCTTGCATTCTTACCAGCAGTGTATGAAGGTTCCAATTTCTCCATATCCTCAACACTTGTTATTCTACATTTTTAAAAATATTTATTTTTGGAGAAAGGGGAAGGGAGGGAGAAAGGAACAGAAACATCGGTATGTGAAAGAAGCATCAGTTGGTTGCCTCTCACACGCTGCCAAAGAGGAGCCTGGCCCACACACACCCTAGGCCTGTGCCTTGACGGGGAATTGAACCAGTGACCTCTTGGTTCACAGGCCAGTGTTCAGTCCACTGAGCTACACCAGCCAGGACACATTTTTTAAAATTACAGCCACCGTAGGCTCTGTCCATTTTTTTTCTCAAATGAGGAAGCTGTGGTGTCTCTGTGGAAAGAGCACAGATCTAGGCAGAAACTCAGCTCTAACACTAACAAGCAGAATGAATTGGGCAAGATCCTGGACTTCTTAGAGCCTCTGTTCCTTTCTCTGTAAAGTGGAGATAATGATGCCTGCCTGGCAAGGCTGGCTGTGAGGAGTGAATAAAATGATCCACATAAAACACTAGTACAGACCCTAGAATCTAAGACGCTCAAAAGGTGGCAGCTGTTATTTTCCACTAGAATGTAACTTAGGGAAGGCAGGGATCTGGTCTGTTAGGCACACCTCACTATCCCAAATGCCTAGAACAATGAGTGACACTCAGCAGACACTCCAAAATATCTGTGAAATAAATGAAGAACATTCTCAACAGGCAGGGCCATATGAAAATGAATGGTCCGGATAGCAAGGACCCTGTGACCGGAGGTGTTCAGGCATAATCTGCATAAACATGGAGTGGCGACTAGATGCTAGGCCCCCCGAGAGATACCAGCATGAAAACAGCCCACCCCACCTTCAAAGAGCAAAGGCTACAAGAGTTGTGGGGACACAAATACCCCCATAACAAACCTCCAAGCTGGGCCACACAGGCTCCTTGGCAGACAGTGGGAGGGGTGCCCAGGGAAGATGGTTAGCCAGGAGGGGCCAGGAGCTGGAGCACCCTGGGGCAGGGTGGGAGTGACCTGACCCAGTGAAGCAAGCCAGTTTATCTGGGACCACCTCCCCTGTCCCAGGTGCTGCCGGACCGTGAGGGAAAGCGCTGCATGTTCTGTGTGAAAACGGCCTCCCGCACGTACGAGATGAGCGCCTCGGACACGCGCCAGCGCCAGGAGTGGACAGCTGGTGAGTTGCTCAAGGGGTGGTCTTGATGTGGCTGGGCCTCGGTTGCCTCATCACTCGCTGTAAAGCAGGTGATGACACACTGCCCAGTGGGAGGCTGGAGCCGAGTTGAGTGACTCCTGAGGCCCCTTTCCAGCAGTGGGCCACCTCGAGCCACCCTGCCCCGGGCTAGCCCTCTGCTGACCCCCTCCCACTCCCTTCTCAGCCATCCAGATGGCGATCCGGCTGCAGGCCGAGGGGAAGACGTCGTTGCACAAGGACCTGAAGCAGAAGCGGCGAGAGCAGCGGGAGCAGCGGGAGCGGCGCCGGGTAGCCAAGGAGGAGGAGCTGCTGCGGTTGCAGCAGCTGCAGGAGGAGAAGGAGCGAAAGCTGCAGGAGCTGGAGCTGCTGCAAGAGGCGCAGCGGCAGGCCGAGCGCCTGCTGCAAGAGGAGGAGGAGCGGCGCAGAAGCCAGCATCGAGAGCTGCAGCTAGCGCTCGAAGGCCAATTGCGAGAGGCGGAGCAGGTGGGGCCCGCCCCAGGAGCTGAGGCGTAGGCTGCTGGGTATAGACAAGCTAGGCCGTGGAGCTGAGGACTGGGGGCGGAGCCTGAAGCGAGGGCGTAGCCGGGGGGGCAGAGGGATGGTGGCGGGCTTGGAATGAGGGACTGTTGGAACAGAGACCATAGGCTTGGAAGATGAGTATTGGTCGAAACCTGTGCTAGAGGGAAGACCTGTGGATAGCTAAGGATGGAGGGCTCAGGAAACTAGCAGAGGGATGTATGAAAGGAAGAAATGGTGTGGGGCGGGCCCAAGCCAAAAGATTGGGTGGGGCCTGAGCTAAGTGCTAGGTGGAGATTGGGGCCTGGTTGGGGGCGGGGCTTAGCGGCTTGGACTAAGCCGCTAACGATGACATCATTACAGGTGAATTTTGTCCAAGATTGGAATACATTGGACTAGACTTGATCTGAGTTTACAATGTAACCCCTTTGGGGAATGCAGAATGGGAGGAAGGCAAGACGGAAGTGTAGGCGGACTAAGCATGTAGAGGCAATAAGATTTAGGACTTAAAAGAACTGGAGTCAGCTCTGGCTTGTGGGCTCCGTGGATTGAGTGCCACCCTACACTTCAAAGGATCGCTGGTCAGATTCCCAGTCAGGGCACAAGCCTGGGTTGCAGACCACGTCGCCGATGGGGAATACATGAGAGGCAACCACACACTGATGTTTCCCTCTCTTTCTTCTTCCTTTCCCCTCTCAATAAATAAATAAATAAATCTTTTTTAAAAAGAGAGAGAACTAGAGTCAGACAGCGAATTCGTTTCTAGCTCTGCCTCTTCGGAGCCCTGTGAGCGCAGGCACGGTGGCCTCTGTGTACCTCGATTACTTATCAGTGACATGTTGATGCTAGTAGAGCTTTGCTCACAGGTTTGGTGAGGATCAAATGAGGAAACAGGTGTTACAACAATTACTATAATTATAGTCCCTCCCTTCTTAGCACTAGCCTTAATTATAATGATAACACATACACTATAATATATATAATTATTATTAAGGCTGGTTCTAGGGAGGGGATGACTTGAGCCCCCATCTGCCATGCAGCATCTGTTTGCCGCTCATTATCTGACCTGGGCAGTTCTCAGCGGTCAGATCAGGAAACCCCGACATGAAGGAGCTCCTCCGACACTCACCTGGAGATAACTAGCTGGGCTGGCCTAGCAGGAGCCTGGAGGGAGGGCAGCATGCCTGTCGCCTCCCTCTCCTGTGCCCCCACTGACCTGGCTTTGCGACCCCGGGCAGGCCCGAGCCTCCATGCAGGCTGAGATGGAGCTGAAGGAAGAGGAGGCTGCCCGGCAGCGGCAGCGCATTGAGGAGCTGGAGGAGATGCAACAGAGGCTTCAGGAGGCTCTGCAACTGGAGGTGAAAGCTCGGCGGGACGAGGAGGCTGTGCGTCTAGCCCAGACGAGGTAGGACTGAGGGACCCCTCTGATTCCCCTTCCTGACTCTCACACCGTCCCACTTGCTGAGCACCTGCCAGGTGCCTTGGCTCTGGAGACGACACAGTGCACGCCCGGCAGACTGCTGGAGGAGGAGGAAGAGAAGCTGAAGCAGCTGCTGCAGCTGAAGGAGGAGCAGGAGCGCTACATCGAGCGGGCGCAGCAGGAGAAGCAAGAGCTGCAGCAGGAGATGGCGCAGCAGAGCCGCTCCCTGCAGCAGGCCCAGCAGCAGCTGGAGGAGGTGCGGCAGAACCGGCAGAGGGCCGATGAGGACGTGGAGGTGAGACCAGGGGTGGGGCTGGGTGGAAGCGGCCCTTTTCTCAAACCCTGGCTCTATTCTCCTCTGGCTGTGTGACTGCAGGGGAATCGCTTGACCTCTCTGAGTTCAAGTCCCTCAGAGAAGAGGGATAGGTAATAGCATTGTTATGAAGATTAAATGAAATAATATGTGATATTTAGTATGTTGTGAGGACTAAAGAAACATTAGCTGCTGTTTTTATGATTATTATTAATGTGGGCAAAAATTTTTCTTCTACTCTTCCAATACCATAATTTGCTAGCCCTGTATTTTGCATCCACTTCTTGGAGTCCAAATCTCCATAGAAGAGGGTTTTTATTTTGATGCTTTCTTTTTATTAATATTGTTTATTTTATTTTGCTTTGTTGGCTTACGTGGCCATTGAAAGAAATTAAACACAGAAATATGTAACAGGGGAAAACAAAGTTCCTTTATGATCCCACCAGCCACTGCTCTGGCGAGGTGCGCATTGGAGCAGAGGTTCTGCATTAGCTCCTGGAGAGGTAGCATGGTGCAGGGCTGCAGAGGTCAGTGTGTGTCGCCCGACAAGACACTTAACCTTTTGTGTACTTGTTTGTTGTTAACTTCTGCTCTTGAGGTTAAATAAGATAACAGATATACTTAGCACATCTTAGCTGCTTGATAAATGGAAACTATAATTACGATTGTATCTGACCCTTTGACAGGGGGCTGAGTCCCCTGAAATTGGGGACTCTGTACCTATGTATAACTCTGTGAATATACATGAATTTTTCTGAGATGATCAATAGCCTGTGTTACACTCTAAGGGGCCTGTGCACCTCAAAAGATCAAGGCACCCTGTCTTGGGTAGTGACCCCGACCAACTCTCCTCTGGTCCTGCCCTACAGGCCGCCCAGCAGAAGTTGCGCCAGGCCAGCACCAACGTGAAACACTGGAATGTCCAGATGAACAGACTCATGCATCCAATTGAGCCTGGAGGTAAGGGGGGTTAGACCCTGGAACTATCCCGGAGAGAGGAGAGAGAGGGCAAAAGGGATACCCCAGATCTACAGAGCCTGCAGGACTGAAGGTTAGGAGGTCCTCCTCTCACCACAGGGCTGCGCAAGGCCCATCAACCTCTCCCCTTTTTGTGTACCTTTCTCCTAACTCATGACCGTTTGTTCTCTGCCAGACAAGCGTCCCACCACCAGCAGCTCCTTCACAGGCTTCCAGCCTCCTCCACTCGCCCGCCGTGACTCCTCCCTAAAGCGCCTGAGCCGCTGGGGATCCCGGAGCAACAGGACCCCGTCACCTAGCACCTGTGAGCAGCAGAAGTCCATCAATGGTGGGGATGAGTCTCCCATCTCAGCTTCCACCCCTCGGGAAGATAAAGTGGACCCAGAACCAGAAAATTAGCCTCTGCTAGCCCCTTCCCCATCTCCCCCAAATTCATGCCCACCGGGACCTGGCCACAGCTGGCCTGTGGGTGACACTGGCCCCTGCAAACGGGGGAACCGAGGACCTGGTGTCAGGGGCCAAGGCCCTCCAACCATGAAACAGCCCAGAATGGAACTTAGCTTATTTTTTGTATCAGCCCCAGGCCCTAGACCACTGAAGCTGTCTGGGATGCTGATCCTTAAGAACTTGATTCTGTGCTGTAACCCCAAGGATCCTATGCTCTGGGCTGGGAAGGAGGAAACAAACAAGCCAGGGGCCATCTGCCCCAGACTGCCACCAAGCTGTGCAGGCACATTTCCAAATAAAAACTGTTCTTGGAGTGAATTATTAATCAAGTCTGCTGTCCATTTCTCTTGTCATTTCTTCTCTTCCTCCCTCAAGGAGGAAGTTATAGATCCAAGAAAGAATAAGGAGGTCTGGCTGGTGTGGTTCAGTGGATTGAGTGCTGGCCTGAGAACCAAAGGGTCACTGGTTCAATTCCCAGTCAGCGCACATGCTTGTGCTGGGGTCCAGGTCCCCAGTGGAGACGTGTGAGGGGCAACCACACACTGATGTTTCTCTCTCTCTCTTTCTCCCGGCCCCTCTCTCTAAAAATAAAATAAAGGAAATATTTTTTAAAAAAGAATAAGATATAGTACAGTGGCTAGGAAAGTACACTCTGCCACTTACTAACTGGGTGACTGACCAAGTTTCTGTACCTCTCTGTGCTTCAGTTCCCATGTTAGTAAAATACAGATGATAGTAGTACCTATCCTATTGGGTTCTTGTGAAGATGAACTTCTTGGCACATAAGCAAGCACTGTTATTAGTATCACCCACAAGCGTCTATTGAGCATCTATTGAGCATCTATTGATCTAGCATCTACTAGATCTACTTGAGCATCTACTCCATGCCCTGCAATGTCCCAAGTTATTCGGTTCTGGCAACTCTGAGAGGGAGGTATGATTATTTTGTTGTTGTTATTCTTGTTTTACAAGTGAAGAAATTGAGGCATAAAAGTTCAAGTAACTAGTCCAAAGCCTTCTAAACTTATTTCTCTTTCCATATTATCTGCCTATTGATTTTTTTTTGAGAGAGAGACATTGACTTGCTGTGCCATGTATTTGTGCATTCATTGGTTAATTCTTGCATCCCTGGCATATCTGGACAATGCTCTAACCAACTGAGCTCATTGACTAGGGTCTTCCCATATTATCTGATTCGCTGACCTGTTACCTAAGACAGAGATTTGGGAATTTAGGATAACTTGCTCCCTCCCTCTAATCCACTCCACACAAAACTGCCAGGAGCTGACCAGCAGCCGTCCCTTGAAACAGTCAGGATGGATGAGATGCATCTACACAGCAGAGGCAACTGTAGCTGGCCTTCCTGTCTATCTCCTTGCATGTTTGTTTTTTTGATTAGTAGGTGGTGGGATTTTTAGACACCTGCATTTCAGGGTCAATGATCCACATAATTCCAATGAAGTTGTACAAAATAATTTCTTGGCCAGAGAACAAAGTCCCCCTTAATGAAGTAGCCCCTGAATATCTAAAACTTGGTTGAGTAACAGCCCCTCCTCTACCTTGGACAAAAATATATATCAAGTGGAATTAGACAGATAAAAGAAGAGGGATAAGCTAATTAACTATTACAAACTAAGCACATGGAAATAATAACCCCATGACTAATTATAAGAGCTTTAATAAATAACAAGACATCTAAAGCTCTGTACATACAGCTAGTTCTAATTGTCTAATGACTCTCCTGGTCATTACAACCTTTGTTTATAACATGACTTCATGCCATGCACCTGCTCCTTTAATGTTATGTATCAATCTCTATAAAAATAAAGCTTAAATCAAACTCTGCGAGTTCGGTCAGACCCACAGAGGCTGGCTGTTCGGCATCCAACTGGGTGTCTGACTTATCATTCGCTGCCTGCGCCGTCCATCCTTCGGGGACTCTGAGACGTGCCGAGGCTGGACCCTGGCACAAAACATCATCATCAAACCTGGTAGATTCTCCTTCATACTTTTATACCTGTTTCTCCTGTATCCCCTCCCTCAAAGAGGGAGTGATGGACCCTCGCCCCCCTGGCTTTGATGAAGCCCGAGTCCCCATGTCCTCTGGGAGAGGCACTTCCTGGTTCTAATCCACTTAAGCCTATAAATCTATGATGGGGAAGGTGGTGCAAGCCTTGTGCTGGGAATGGCAAGTTCCCTGGGTGATCTGGCAAAGAAAAGAATTTCTGACAGTCCTGTGAAGCCTGCTTTGCTGAGAATGCTTTTAGTTAAATGATAAAGGCCTGAGCAAAAAAGAGTTTATGTTCCCAAAGTTCTGTAGCCTTTTAGCTGACAGACCCTGGTTTAGAAGAAGCCCTAATGGTTCTTTGTATACTATCTACTGTTTACTGCCTGACAGTGATTAATAAATTGTACCTAAACTCTTGTGCAAAAAAACCCCAATAAAAGCCTATCTCGGCAAGGGTCAGCACGCTGTCCCCTTGAGGGAGTAGCCGTGTGGTCCCTTTTCCTCCACAAGACTCGATAGTCTGTGTGAATTTGTTCCATGTTTCATCCATGATGCTTCGGGCACTGCTGGTCAGTGCATGTGCCACAACTATTTCTTTCCCTCTTTTTCCTCTCTTCCCTCTCTCTAAAAATAGTCAATAAAATCTTTAAAATGTCAGTATTTAATAAAGAGTAGAAATTACATTCATCCTCTACAACTGTTAAGTTTTAAACTAATGATGAAAAATATTAGATGTCACCTTAAAAATGGGCCAAGAGGAGGTGTAGGTGGAGACATTGTGCCTCTTCACACAACCAAATTTAAGGACAACAAAGATTTAGAAACAAGAACACAACCAGAACAGACAGAAAATTGAACTGTGCTGAAGTCTGACATCAACGAACCATTCGTCCAGACTGGTAAGAGGGGCAGAGTCAGCTGCCGGCGAAGAGGGGTCCTGGCAGGAAAAGGCAGTGGTTGGCAGACCCCGATGAGACACTCAAGGAGGCTGGCTGACCTCGTACACACATTTGCATGCAGATAAACCAGGCAAAAAACAAGCAGTAAGACAGATCGCGCAACCCAGGGCCCCAACAATGGGAGATAAAGCCTAAAGGCACCAGTTGAAAACACTTGTGGGGGTTGAGTGGCTCCCAGCCTCACAAGGAGAGTTTGCTGGGGAGACCCACAGGGTCCTAGAACGTACACAAGCCCACCCACCCGGGAACCAGCACCAGAAGGGCCCAATTTGCTTGTGGGAAGTGTCAGAGGGGACCAAAATCTGAGAGAGGGGGGAACAAGTGCCATTGCTCCCTCTCTGACCCCGCCCCCACATACAGTGTCACAACCCAGTGACGTGGTTGCCCCACCCTGGTGAACACCTAAAGCTCTGCCCCTCATAAATAACAGGTACAACCTGACCAAAAATAGCTCAATAAGAAGAACAAATCAAAGCCCCAGAGCCAATACTTTTAAGCGACCAAGAGATAGCCAACCTATCAGATGCACAGTTCAAAACGCTGCCAATCAGGATTCTCACAGAACTTGTTGATTTTGGTCACAAATTAGATGAAAAAATTAAGGCTACACTAAGTTAAATGAAGGAAAATGCACAGGGATCCAATAGTGATGGAAAGAAAATCAATGGAGTGGACCAGAAGGAAGAAAGAAACAACCAAACAGAAAAGAATAAAGAAACAAGAATTCAAAAAAATGAGGAGAGGCTTAGGAACCTCCAGGACATCTTCAAACATTCCAACATCCGGTTTATAGGGGTACCAGAAGGAGAAGAGGAAGAGCAACAAACTGAAAACTTATTTGAATAAATAATGAAGGAGAACTTCCCTAATCTGACAAAGGAAATAGACTTCCAGAAAATCCAGGAAGCTCAGAGAGTTCCAAAGCAGTTGGACCCAAGGAGGAACACACCAAGGCACATCATAATTACATTAGCCAAGGTTAAAATAAAGAAGAGAATCCTAGAAGCAGCAAGAGATAAGGGGACAGTCACCTACAAAAGAGTTCCCATCAGGCTGTCAGCTGATTTCTCAAAAGAGACCTTATAGGCCAGAAGGGGCTGGTAAGAAGTATTCCAAGTTATGAAATGCAAGGACCTACATCCAAGATTGCTCTATCCAGAAAAGCTTTCATTTAGAATGGAAGGGCAGATAAAGTGCTTCTCAGATAAGGTGAAGTTCAAGGAGTTCATCATCACCAAGCCCTTATTATATGAAATGTTAAAGGGACTTATATAAGAAAAAGAAGATTAAAATATGAACAGTGAAAGGACAGCAAACTCACAGTTATTAACAACCACACATAAAACAAAAGCAAACTAAGAATACAGCTAGATCAGGAGTGAACCATAGAAATGGAGATCACATGGAAGGTTAGCAACAGCGGAATGGGAGGAGGAGAAGAGGGGAGAAGGTACAGAGAATAAGTAGCATAGATGGTGGGGAGAAAATAGGGGGAGGGCAAGAGTAGTATGGGAAATGTAGAAGCTAAAGAACTTATGACACATGGACATGAACTAAAGGGGGGAAGGTGGGTCGGAGGGGGTGTGCAGGGTGGAGGGGAATGAAGGGGGGGAATGGGACAACTGTAATGGCATAATCAATAAAATATATTTTTAAAATGTGCCAAGAGCTGTATTGTTCTGATATTTTTTTTCAGGAGGAGAGGTATTACTGGGAATATTGGGGTCCCCAAAATGGGAAGTCCCCCACTGACCTGGCTGGGGGACAGAGAAGCAGAGCAGGGTCTTGCATATCTAAAGAACTTGGCCAGTGTGTTAGTAATGCTGATAGCTGCGCTTGCCTGCCCTGAGCCAGGGAAATGAGCTGGATTCTAACCTGTGGTGTTATGCAGCCAGAGGGGCTGTCCGAGCCTGAGAGAGAGCAGGAAGGCATTTCCTGTGTCGCTGGAAGATGCCTGCCTGGACTAAAGAAGGCAACCCGTGAAAGGCAGAAGAAACCAGAGTACTGGCAGGTGTATCCCTTTGTGGGAGGAGTCAGAAAGGGGATTATGGAGGAAGACCCAAGCCATGATTTAAACCCAAGTGTGGAGCAGCCAGTCTCTCTCTCTTTGAACCATGAGGCTTGGGAGTGGAGAAGGCTGTCTGGGCCATGCAGTTTGAAAGGATGCAGAAGCATGCCCACTGGCCCATCATGCGGAGGGGCCATTCAGTTTTGGATTAAAAGCAGGAGCCTAGCTCAGCATGGATGACTGCAAGAAGCCAGAATACTGAGGGAATCTCTCCAGCTAAGCTACAGACTTTCATTTCTTTTCCCGAGAGAAGATACCCCTGACTGACCTGGTTTGGCAAGGGGAGGCAG